CAGGGGAGGAGGCCCCCGCTGGCCAGCGTGACCTTGCCACCCACGCAAGGCAGGCGGGGCGGGACTGACTCCCAGTGGGCGCAGGCGGGACGGTACCTGATGGTGACGGAGGAGCACTGGGCCAGTCTCTTCCCAGCACTCTTCAGGCCGGTGTAGATCTGCCCCATCTCCATCGCCCCCTCCAGCCCCACCACTTCCAGGAGCTGGTCGCTGAGGTCTGGGAGGAGAGAGACAAAGGCAGCATGGAGGGGCCGGACGGGCCCATGTCCCCACACAGCCCTCCCCCGGCCGCGGGGCTAGCGCGAATTACCCCTGCTCCTTCCTACTCCTGCTTGCGGACAGGAGCCAGGCCTCGGGGACCGACATTTCCACAGCGACCGCGCTCGCCATCCCCGTGACGCAAACCGCGGCAGCCGCTGGAAACACAGCAGCCATGCTGCCTAGTGGTCAGGGCCGGGGCGCCAATACCTCGCCTAAAGGCAAGGCGAGGGGCGTTTGCTGAACAGATGGATTCAGCCTGGGCACTGAGGGGTAAGAGCTGTGAACCCCTGACTGGCCACCCACGCCTCGCCAACCTCCGGCGTTGGGATGTGCCCCGTGGTCACAAACCAAGCCCAGGGCCCCGCGACAGCGCACCGAACGCACGTTGCTAGAATGGGGAGAGCCCCCTCGCCTAAAGGCAAGGCGAGGGGCGTTTGCTGAACAGATGGATTCAGCCTGGGCACTGAGGGGTAAGAGCTGTGAACCCCTGACTGGCCACCCACGCCTCGCCAACCTCCGGCGTTGGGATGTGCCCCGTGGTCACAAACCAAGCCCAGGGCCCCGCGACAGCGCACCGAACGCACGTTGCTAGAATGGGGAGAGCCCCCGGGAATGGACAGGAGTCCCCGGGGAACGACAGGAATCTGGCCTTGCCCCCAGAGATCCTAGACCACAGGCAAATGGAGCAGCTGCAGACAGGCCCGTGGGGTGTTCAGAGAGGTTCTGCTCCCATGAGAGATTCCTGGCCAGGTGTCTCAGCTTTAAAAGGAAGTTTTCCTTCACACAGTGCATGGTAAACCTGTGGAACTCCTTGCCGGAGGATGTTGTGAAGGCCAGGATTTCAACGGGGTTCAAAAAAGAGCTAGATAGATTCCTGGAGGTTAGGTCCCTCGATCGCTCTTAGCCAGGCTGGGCAGAGATGTGTCCCTAGTCTCTGTTTGTCAGAGGCTGGGAAGGGGCGACAGGGGAGGGATCACTGGTTGGTTCTCTGTTCTGTTCCATCCCTCTGGGGCACCTGGCGTTGGCCACTGAGGGCAGACAGGACACGGGGCTGGATGGGCCTTTGGGCTGACGTTCTTACACGGAGCCATCTGCACGTCAGGCGTTCAGAAAGGTCCCCCAGCAGTGTGCGGGGGCTCGGCCTGCCCCGGGCTGGGCCAGTTCCCACACAGCATATCGCAGAGAACGGGCCACGGCAACGGGGCAACTAGCTGCCCCCTGGCTCTGCGGGCTGGAGCTAGAGCCCTCGGGCTTGCGGCCCGGCTCCCAAGAGCACTGCTTGGAGCAGTCCCGGACAGGGCCCGAGCACCTGTCTGCAGGTGCTTCTGCTTGTGCCTGGCGTCCCTGGTCCCTGCTGCCTTGCGGGGCCCACTCGGCCTCTGGGCAAAGACAGAGCCGCGTCGGCCTGTGGGGATTGCCTTGCAGGCACTGAGACCCGAGGGACCTTCCGGGAGAACTTCAAAGGCAGAGGCCCACAAAGCAGCCGCCCACGAGGCTTGGAGAAGGCTGGTTCAGCGGGGCTGGTGGCAGAGGGACAGGTCCCGAGAACGAGGAAGGTGCAAAGAGAAGGAAGAGGGAGGCGGAGAACAGAAAAGGTCGGAGGAGAGGGCCCCCCGACCTCAGCCTGCAGGGGTGCTGTGTGTGCAGCTGGGGAAGGAGGCTCGCACACCAGCCCATGCCGCTCTCGGAAGGCCCCAAGCACAGAACAGAAAAGGTCGGAGGAGAGGGCCCCCCGACCTCAGCCTGCAGGGGTGCTGTGTGTGCAGCTGGGGAAGGAGGCTCGCACACCAGCCCATGCCGCTCTCGGAAGGCCCCAAGCACGGCTCCGGGCCGCGGGGGGGGGCGGGCCG